TCTAGTTTGAATAGACCAAAGTGCAAGGTTTGGAATTGAATGGTGTAAAACATAACAAGGAATTAAGTTCGACGAGTATAAATTAAACAATTATGTGCAAAGGGACGAAAACAAGTTAAAGTTATGATCGGATTAGAACCCTTTGAATTCCGCAACTTGATAATGGTCCCCAATAACAAATGAGATACAGAAACTGGATTTATGTACCCAGTTAGCAAGTGAGATTAAAAGTTTTGGGTCCCAATTCCATGCTCACATGTGTATTCAGTGAGTTGGTGACATAGACCTCATTGCAGCATCTGAGGGATTCTGGTCCATTGCTTCGTTTTTCAATTTTGGTTTTTCAACTAGAAACAAAATCAATCAATGTATTTGAAAATAATGGCATTGATAATCATGGGGTCCACGGCTGGTTTAAACCAACTCAGATGACATGTTTGAATAAACTTTTATATAAGTATTTTTAGAAGAAAAATAAAAAAAATCATTTAATAAATCAAAATTAACTTATGTATCTACTAGTACATAGTCCTTGATCAGTTTTGCAATATTTTGTAGATCATATTTATGGATAAAAAAATTAACTTATGTATAAATTAAAAAATATTTTGAAAAAGATAAGAGAATTTCTTAAAAATTAACTTTATAAACTAATTTTAAATGTTAACAAATTTACTTATTTATTCTTTCTCTATGTGTTTCTATAAAAAATTTATTCAAACAAATCTTAATATTTATCTCGGCAGGTCACTACACTTGTTACTGATAGACTATTATTTAGTGGAAGGCTAAACATGTAACTAGAAAGAGAATCATGTTCACCTTTTATATATTTTTTTTTTTGGTCTCATCACTTTTTATATTCTGAGAATCATGTTCAATCTTGTCAAAAAAATTATATTCAATAAAATCCAAAAAACATAAATACATATTACATTTATCTTCAAATAATTGATGGAAACTTGAATTTATAATAAATATTAAATTAACTGAATTTAATGTACCTAATCACTTTTAATGAAGACTTAAATTACTTATAATAATGATATTTATTATACAATTTTGATAATTCTAAATTAATAGTATATATAAAGACTACCATAATTTAAATATTATATTAATATGTGTGCCAAATATTTTAATTTTTTTTTTTGCTTTAAAGTATATTTAAAAATAATAATAACAAATTAAAAGTATTAATTTTATAAATAAATTTTTATTCATAATGATTTTATAAATACTAGTTAAATCTAATATTTTGTTTTGGTACAGGAAGTTAAATCTAATATAACTAGCTCTTATTATTTTATTTTAATGAAAAATTAAGAAAAAAAATATTGTGTATATATAAGTATACTTTATTTTTTAATGAATTTATTAAAATATATTTTATGAACAATAATAATTAAAAAACAATTTTATAAATATTTATTTAAATTTAAAATGATTTATT